CATGTTATTACGGTGTATCCATATAAATGGCCCACCCTGTAGATTGAAAAGTAACACATACTGGTTTTGTTTTAGTGGTATCAGCAAGGATCTGTCTTATCAGGTAAACCTCACCCCTCCTGTATCGATCAGCTACTGTTTGAGAGGAGACACTGACAGGAAATGACCCCTGACCTTTCTCTCAGATCGATCACAGCTAATGGGTATAAAACTCCACACCCTGAACTTTTACACGCAGCTCAAGCGAAATGTTTGTTTAATCAATGAATGCAGTGCACGTACCTCTGATGTTTGACCTTCTGAATGATGATGTTTGATTTAGTGAAGGAATGGAGGCATGTTTGCTGTGATACTCACATTACATTCCAACAGCATGAGAATAACAAAAGCTGTTTCACACGGGCACTACAGCTCTGAATGTTTTTAAACACTACCTGGAGCAGCTGCATGTGAGAACCGGACACCAATCAGACTTTACCCTGCCAAAGCGTTTCCAGAAGTGAGAGCACATCTGACGCGGGTAAATCTGCTGTCTGTTACACATGCTGACTTGAATCTGCAGAAATTGTACCGAGTTCATGTGTAAAAACGGCCAATGTATTTAGTCTGATCTGAGTTCCCTGAAAAACGAGGAACTACTTTATTCCAGCTCTTCAAAGCTGCCCACTTCCCTAAAGCTTTTTAGGGAAATAATCACCGTAATCATTTTGTATGAACATTTGTCTTTTTAATAGTGTTTCCACTGAGGTCTCAAGTGAGATTTATTTACTTTCTCACATAACTGTTTCTAATCAGCAGAAATACACAGTCTTGTTTCCTGTTCTTATTCGGATCACATGGATATAGAAAAAGCCAAAAAGATAAAGTCTGGGAAATTCTGCAAAATCCTGAATAACATTTAAAAAAAATAGTGCACGATAACAATACCTGCACATGCAACTGTGACATAAATGAAAGACTGTGGACAATTAAAAACCTTTGTGAAGGTAAGAGAGCAAAATCATGGTTGATAAAAAATACAATGTTAAAATAAAACATGCGTGAAACCCTCTACCCATACAACACAGCAAAAAAGACACTAATGCCTGCTGAATGTTGGAATTTGGGTCTGTGGCTCTGTGGAGGAAGATTTGGGAAAAATATGCCACAATTTCTTTTAATTATTGAGTTATTTGTGAGTTTTATGACAAAATGTGGCTCGTGGGTTGCCGTGCATCAAGCAACTTTTATCAGTTGCGTTTATGTTTAAGCACAAGGCCATTTCCATGCAATGCTGAGATGAAATCAAACAGCAGATACTCATAGGTTGCGGTAGAATGAAATTTTGTAACAGCAAAATGTGACTGTGCTGCTGTTACAAAAAAAATGAGGGAGCCAACAAAAGGGTGAGGGAGGGGAGGAAGAGCTGATGAGAGAGTGGAAAAAGACATGGAGATGGACAGACAGATAGACGAGGACGATGAAGAGAATGACGGCGATGAACTGACTCGTTTCACGATAAAGGATCGTCATGGCGACCCGCCTGTCAGTCAGTCTGTCAGCCACATCCACTCCTGGCCGCATTACAGCTCTCTGCCTCACCCGGACACACACAATAGATCTTCTGTGTGTGCATATGTGTGTGTCCGATACCCACAGGGCAATTAGTAGGTACTCTGGACCAACTAAGGAGCCAACCCCCTCCGCTATGTTTCCATATATGAGTGACACTGGAGCCCGGATGCCCCCCCCTCGACCAGCACTGCCACACAGGACTCTTTCTGGACATGTAGAACTGTCCAGAAAGAGTCCTGTGCAGAGGTCATGTAAGTATTTATTTTGACATTTCCTGGTACAAGAGGAAATTGATCATCAGAGTTTGGAACCAACAGCAAGAGTCCAGAACAAGGATAAGACAGAAATTCTTCCTTTAATGCTACAAATCAAACAGAGAGGTAAAATAATTTTAATATTCATGATAATAGTGTCAAATGACAGAACATTAGGTTTTATGAAAACCAGGTCAGTATATTGATTAATAATGTTGCTCTTTTATCACCTGGAGCACAAAGAAATGGAAAATGTTTGCCACAAAAGCCAAAGTTGTGCCTTTCTACTGCAACCAACGTACTTCAAAGGGCACAACTTTTATTTTGTATCACACTTTCTCAAGTTTCATTACAGCTTAGGCAGTACTGAAACTTAGGAAGCCCATACATCTTTCATGCAAACTCGAGGAAACCACAGTGATCCACTAGCAACCACAACAACCACAAGAAGGTTTGCAACTGATTTGACCTGGCGAAAGCCATCAGCCCCAAGCAACGTCTCTCCAACCTTGCACATTTTTTCCTTAGCAGCCAGAGGTTGCCAGCAGGGTCGCCAAACAGTCTCTATGTCTGAGTCATTGCAATGCATGGAGTAGGCAGGGCAGAGAGCAACCATTCATAACTGCATTTATGTCAGTGAGAGTGATCCTCTCCTGAAGGAAGAGAAGCCATTAATTGTTTGTTACATATACATTTTGGCAGAACCTTAAATTTAACTACTCTAAATTGTAAATTCAGATTTATATTAGGAGGGAAGAAAAGCCGCATACCTCCAAATTCAATAAAGACCGAGCCCTAAGTGTATGGAAGTGTGTGTGTGTGTGTGTGTGTGTGTGTGCATATGCAGGGTGGCTTAAAGTAGAGATGAAAGGGTGGCCATTGCCTCCTGATGACTGATAGCATTCAGCAGGGCTTTGGCTGATGTCTGCCTGATAACACAGAGGACGGCTCATTCAGTCTTTAGGCAGAGGGCAGCATTAGAGCAGCCAATCAGGAGCCAGTGGACAATCAAACATTAGCTGGGGCTTAATATTGTTTTAATTCCTAGGAATCGTGCATTTAAAACCCATTTTATTCCCAATGTGGACATGACAATTTGGCTTAACGTAGACGTTAGCTTGATATGTACAGGTAACAAAGTAGACCTGTTCTACTACTCTACTGCCCTCCTTCTGTGACCAGCATGGTTGCTTTCACATTTACTTTTTTTTATAAATTTGGCTACTTAATTAAATGCATTGAGACCCATCAGTAAGCCACTGGTGGACATGGCCTACCATCAGGCGACTCATACAAAATCTCTATTTTCGGAAATATGCTTATAACCTTTTGTAAAGATCAAAAAAATACTGCAGACTGCTTGCCAGCTTCATGGTGAGACGACATCATGAGGTAAATACACTTGACCAAAAAACGTTTGTGAGTTTTTGAACAGACTAGAAAAAAACAAAGCGTGGCATGATGATCCATGATTTGTTACTGCTGGACACTGCCATGCTATGCTTATATTAAGCCAAGATCAATGGCTGCTGCTGTGGCTTTATATATAACAATACAAAAGCAGAACCAATTTTCCCATCAATTCCTAAATAATGAAATTAAATTATTCCTTTTTGTAACATGTCTATTGCAAAATCTAAACTGTAATATATTGCCCATCTGCAAGAGGCATGGTCCCGATTTTGGGCTTTAACGTCTAACCAATCATAAACTTGCATTTTTGTGATGATAAATATAAAAAGGATTACAGTGTGTGAAGCTTATGTAAACTAACAAATCGGCACAGACGCACACAACACGCCCTCGAGCTCACGCTTGCATGGTAAACTGTGTTCTGGTGGCTTTTAAAGAAATGTGAATGAATCTTTCTGCCGGTGTCAAAGCAGTGACACAGAAAGGATTTGTTGGTCCATTCTCATTCTCTAAAACAAAAGGCTCTACAGCAGTAAAGGTTTGGAGAGGGTGCAGGGCAGGGGTCAAAGAGCACATGTTCCAGGAAAGAGTTGCCCCCTAACGTTTTGTTGGCTGATTTTAACAGCCAGGCCGAGCCAAGACAGCGTGACGACAAGCATGAATGTTAAAATAAACAATCCCCACTTCATGTTTCACTGATATTTTGTCGTAAATTTGAAGAAAATAGTAAAAATCCCATTATGAAGTGGTTTCCTGTACTTGCAAATGCAACTGCTTGCAATCCTCAGGTCATGTGAACAAAACATTATACACTGTGATAAAGAGGTTGACGCTTCAAACGTTTAATACCGCTAAAGTGTTTTAATCACAAAGTCGAACATCAAATCAAAGAACAGATCCATCAAATCTGACCTGAAACTTTGTTAGAAACTTGCGTTACAAAGTCCTGTCAGTCTGTTACAAATCTTTCACAACCTTCTGATAAGAAACACCTCTCAAAGCTCAATAATCGGCTTTACAAATACTCCTATCAGTGCTCGGAGAGGTCATTTTATCCATTCACTCTGAGTGGAAATCCTGTAGCAGCAATTACATGTCAAGGAGGCGAGAAAAAACAGCGAGGGCAGGGCGCCATGGCAGCCAGTGCCTCTCTATCATTAGACACACTGCGACCTCTGCAACATATCTGACAGCGACGAGAAGGTTAGTCTTACCAGACAGACGCATGTGATGCAGGGGTTGTCGGTGATGTTGGGGATGTGGAGAACCTCTCCTTCATTGTCACAGCTGGCCTCAGTACCTATAGAAGACAGGAGGAAGGTGAGATGTAGGAGAGTGAAAAACGATGACGATGATGATGATGTCACACAGGCTTGTACTAAATACTTTTGCACAACAAGCGATGCAAAGCAGAAAGAAGCTTGGATTTCTTCTACGCCAGTGTGGAGATATTTGATACGTCCTAAACTAACACTTTTTAAACATGCAACAATTAACATATAATAAATATTTAACATACATAAAGAAGCAGCCTAAAATACATAAATATACATATTGTGACTTTTACTACACAAGCATACTGAACTGGTCACTTTAAGTCTAATTTATCTGTCCGGTTAAGAGCAGTGGCATTATATCTCAGATTATTAAAAGTAGAGACCCCGCTGCCAACAATCCAGTCATTAAAAAAATTATGCCAGATGAACCAACTGTTTCCAGTGGCTGTTACTTAGCACTCGTGGGATGGAGCATGTCCATCTTCACCTTCATCTTTATTTCTTGTTTCAATCTCAGTTACACACTAAAGGTTTTGTAACTGTATCTTGCCCAACTCTGGTGGTATCGTGTTGACTAAATTTGTTCACAGACAGACATAAAAACACCTGCCACAGTATTCAAAACTGTCTTTGTTGGGTTTCTGCTACAGTAGATGTCTCCAGGACCACAATGATGTTGTGATGACAGACAGACTCATAAGAAAACAATGAAAACGATGTCAGCCATGCTAAAGAGACTGGTAAACATGAGTCAGTCGGTTTGTTACGAGTCCAATGTAATCTGAACCAACGACAGGAAACGACCCTAAATCCATGGGTTTATGGGTAGAAGAACACAGATGTCAACATCTCGGAGGCACCAGTTCCTGCTGCTTAGAGAGCTGCAGCAGCAAAAAACAAAAAGACTGATACTCGGCCGTTTGTTCATGCACCATATTTGTTTTGACTCTCTGAACTAAAACCTTCCTTCTTAATTACTTTAGAGCTGAATGGGTGTCATTGAGGTGAAGTTAAAGCCTGAGTGTGAAACTACTTCCTTCTTCCAGTAATTTGTCGTGCGTCTGCAGTATCTCCTCCATGGCTGAATGAACACAGTTTCAGAACTTACAGTTCATCCAAAAAACTGTTTTCTAAATTGCACGATGATGAAAAGCATTCAAAACCCAAGAGTTTGAATGCTTTAACTAGAGACCATATTTCAGTGGTTTCACACCAGCTGCAGCAGTTCATGCACTAAATACAGAAATCTCATGGGCAATTACAAATCTCAGAGAATATAAAGGCATTAAATGAGGCTATTGTCCCTGTACTTTCAGTAATTAGTGGTCAAGTACTCAGCTACAACTATCTTTGAACTCTATCTTCATTTGGACCTCAAGTACGCACGTGTGAAGTTTCATGATTGTACATTTGCAATACTATCACCTTGACAAAATCTATCCGCCCAAACATCTGAACAGCTGCCACAGGACTCATGGCCTCCTTCTGTGCTGGTTTCTGCTGCCATAGGTCTCTTTAGGACCACATCTTTCCATGAGATCGCTCACGGAAACGGACTGAATTAAAACCAGGCAAGCTGTTGTAGGTAAAGACTCAGGACACTTTGATATTTTTGGTTGATCTCCTATCAGTGTGACCTCTGACTCCTAACTGTTTGGTTTGTTGCAATGTTGACAATTCAGGAATCTACCATCCCCTAAACGCCTTCCATGAAACAAAGCAATGTGCACGAGGCACAAATCTGCTCTACAGAAACAGATACTTTAGGGATTTTATCTGCTCATCACCCCATTGAATTTACCACCTACCAACCTATTTCCAAATGCAAAAAATCCCCCGTCAGTACCTAGTTTTTGTGATTAAAGATTATATTATAAATCCTAGTTTCCTGTGGAGCATTTCCCCGCTCTGTGAAAGCCTCACCTGGATGCTATTGCAGTTAAATCACTGCAGCAGCTCTGTGCTGCTCTTTATTGGATTTGGGAACGTTTACATTACCCGAGTTAGAGTTGCGCTTGCCAAACACATCGGTTACAAGCAATTTAGCTAAGTTATAGAAAGACAAAACAGGTTATGTTAACAATTAGACATGAATTCTTGCACACTATGATAAAGGGACTAAGCAGTTCTAGTTTTCTCCCTAAATACACTGAATTTAGTGACAGTCCTTTACTTTTTTTTTTTACCATGCAGTCCAGCCATCATAACCAAATATAAAGACTTTTTGCAAGATTTTTGTCCCCAAAATAAGCTGACTAGATACATCTGATAAACTCTGCTGGCAACAGGTGTCATTTCACTTTGGGAAAAAAAAAAAAGATTTTGATGGTTGCTGGTAAAGAAAAAGAGCTCATGTGTTCCCCTGGCTAAAATCAAGCACCCAATAAGACCAAAATGACACTGGATTTTAAACCCACTATCACTGTAAATTAAATATGGAGCATGATTGAATGAAAAGGCCGAAGGCCGTAGCAACGGTAACATCAGCTCATGTCTAAAGTCATAAAGATCTTAGCAATGTTTATATCAGGCTTGTAATGCAGTAAACTTAGATTCCACGCTGCAACAATAGTTCCTTATAGCAGCGAGTCATGCCGTCTGTTTTTGTCCCTCTGAGTTCAGCAGTAAACCAGCCTGAGCCTGTGGATTCGGGCAGAGCAGACAAACCCTACCGACTCCGCCACTGTAAAATTTACAACCTTTCGAGTGTAATTAAACTGGTGGACCTATAAGTGTCGGGGGGTGAGGGATGGAAGGGAAAAGGGGTGTAGGTGGGTGGGGGTCCCAAGCATTTTTTTACAGTGCCAAAAAACCCAAACTCTCATTTTCCAGCTGCTAGATTTGCCTCATATCCCAGCACTGTCAATATAGACATTATAACTGATGCATTTATATAGTTCCTCTCTATTTCAACCCTCTGCCAAGTGCTGCAAGTAAAAGGCAGATGAAGTAGTTCAGAAAGCCATTAATAGTGCCGGAGCTCAAGCTGACTCAGATCTGTGGCCTGTCTTCCCTCAGAGATCACTATCTGACTCTGATCGACAAATCGGCAAAAACACCACAGCTGAGATTAAAATCTAATAAATCTTTTGTTTGAATTGACAGAGAGACTGCTAAATGTCAAATGTATCTATATTAACCCTTTCAGCTCCTTGACAAACAATTTCACAATCTGTTGCTACTTGCTCTGTAAAATCTCTCTAATTAGCTTTAACTGTGAATGTACTGCACATTGTTATACAAACAAAAAATAAAACTAATGCATTAAAGTAATTTCCGGCACAGCAGGTGGAGCAAATGTTAACTGCTTCCTATACTGTCAGGTGGTTTCATCTAATAAATCTTACAAACATCATGTTTTCTGTCTGTTTTGCATGTTGAAATAAATCCTGTCAAATAAATGTGGCAGTTTTTCACTTGAAATAAAAAATGAAAACACTAAAATATATTAAATTAATCTACCTTATTCCATCATGTTTCTGAAGAGCTGGGCCTTTTTGGTAATGCAGGCAACTTGGTGTGACTTTAAGACTTATGATACATAATAAACATTTATAACTGAGTTTTGTTAACCTTGAAAAAAAATTGCCAGCAAATACACATTCATGCAATTTTGGAGAAACAGTTCTCAGACTAATCCGCGAAATATCGGTCTAATAAATAATAATTATAATTATATTTGACTCAAAGGTTTTCTCCAGACAATTAAGTCACTAGCCTCACTTACATGTCAATGCATAGCAATGCAGGACTCATATAAGTATCATTAACAGTTCTGATTCAGTAAATGTTTGCAAAAAAAATGTAACAAGTGCTGCGAAGTGGATTTAAACACGTTCTACTGTGGCTGTGGACACTCTAGCGGTCAGGATGACCTCTGAAGCGGCTGCTCCACCTGCTGCACTGACACGTTCAATCATCTGACTGCAAGACCTCAAACAGCTCAGAAACTCCTGGTCTGTGGTTCAGCAGACAATAGGCAGATGATACAGCGCGTGTTTGGGATGCCAGGTGGGGGAATCTGATCTGCTGGGATCGTAATGGTGCAAATGATAAAGAGGCTGTTGGTTCTCAGGGGTTTCTCACGCTGTTTTATGTCAAACAGATACACTAGGGATACCCATCTGGTACACGTTTTGTCCCTGATCTGGTTCTCATCTATCCGGGTTTGCTTCAGGAAAATAAGATAACTGCTAAGAGAGGGGGACCCCTAAAACCAGAACTCGTTCTTATCAGGACCGCAGCGGATGTGCATAAAGTCATTTATGGCGCTCCTTGTTATGCTGAGGTCTGTATTAGTGTTTAAAGCTGAAGTAAAACGTCTGCTCTAAATCACATTTTCTCCTTTAATTAATCAGTTTATGATGACATGAATCCACTGTGGCCATGGCAACACTACCAATGACCTGGAGGACACAGAAGAAAAATAAATTATCATTATCAAATGCCAGGTTAGGTCAGTAAAAGCAGGTCAGCAGCAGAAGTCTCGTGCTTCACAAAGCTGTTTACCCAGCGATAAGACGCACACACGCCGGGCTGACTGGCTGAGGAGCCCGGCCAGCGCGCACCACCACATCCACCTTTCATTCACTCCACTTCTATTTTTCACACACTTTGCTGTAGGGCAAACAACCGATATCCTATGATGCAATCTGGCTGTCAAAAGAGGGTGAGCAAGCCGGGGAGAGAGCGCGCGTTTAGCCCCAAACAGGGAGGCCGCTCAGGAGGGAAGACAGAGTGCTGTTAAATTAGAGCTGGTTAAGGAAAGTGGGTTTCACTTTACAGCCTGCTTGTAACTAAAAACTGGGTTAATTACAACCCAAAGTGACACAAATATCAATTTGAGTTAAAGTCACTTATAATTCTACGCAGACCTTGCATCATAATGATCCGAATCATCGTGTAATTTTTGTAAGTTTGATGTAAATCACTTTGATATTGGCTCATCGTGATAGCTATGACAGAAAACCACTTCCTGCAAATAACAAGGTTCTTCAAATAGAAGCACAAGCGTATTCCCCGCAGGGTGGCACAGAGAGGATAATCCCGAGTGAAGTTTATAATCGCGTGATAGACTTTCCCGTAAAAAGCCCAGATAAACGTTGCTTGTTCGAGAGAAAAAATAAGTAAAAACAAAATCTGTAAATACTATTTTCTAAAAAACTTTAAAATATACACATTTTGGTGAGCTTAAAAAACAAAATAATTTACGGTGATGCTAAGGAAGGGTTAGGAAAACGGGTAATAAAACGGGTAAAATAAAACCGCTTTTCATCCTTTTCTGCTTCCTTGTGATCGTGAAACAAACTGAAGGTTATCATCAGCGCTTCCTGAACCCTTCCCTGCGCTGCCACATTACTGGTCATCAGATATATAGAAGCTGGAGTGACTTTGGTTTGGTGCGCTACTCTTGGAAGAGTAAAAAAAAGACCGAAGGAGCAAGGAGACGCGGCAGCAGACTAAATAACCAGGGGTTTGGGTAGATTTTTACGCACGGAGGGAGTTGTGATGTGTTATTATGAAGCCTTATGATCCCTTTAATCTTACCTGTAATTAGCGGAGAGGAAGACTGGGGCGTTTGGAGCAGCAGCAAAAAGCAAAAGAAAAACCTACAGGTGGACCAGGAGGGAGGGTTCAACCAGCGGAACAACATCCTCGGGTTTGCTCCAGGAAGGAGAATCAAAGAGCTTGGGGGGGAAATGAAGGGATAAATAAAATCAATCCAAAGGAAAACAATGAAGATAAAAAAATTCCACAATCAAAGCTAATCTTGAAAACTTCTGGTCTGCATGTCAACCAGGAGAGAAAATCTCCTCAGTTTGTCAGTTTGAGCTGAAATGTGAAGTGGCAATCAGCCAGACGCGCGGTGATTACAGTGATATTAAAATGACAAAGACGCGCCGGCAAGCAGGAGACAGCTGTGCCGCGCACGCCCTGCGGAAAAAAACACAGTCTGCGAACGAATTGAAAATATTTACATAGAGAAGCAGTCTCAGATTTTGCAGGCGTGAATATCCTGAGAGGAACGGCGAGCTGTGAGTTGTTAAAATGACTTTTGCTCCACTCCGACTGTCAGAAGAGTCCAGACCGAAGTGTCCGAGGTAAATGCAGCTCTGATGTACACGTGCACATTTATATCAACAGGAGAGTTTAAAACTCAAACGTCTTCCAGCCAGCGAATCAAATTTTTTTCCCAGCAGTAGACTTGTCTTAATCTGCGCTCCCAATCCCAAAGTCCGCTTGTCACATGGATGCTCGATGCCGACTCTTTCGGGGCGGAGAAGCGGTCTGCAGCCTCTCTCTAGCTGAGCGGTGTAAATAGTCGACCTGCTTCTCCTCCTCCACCCCCGGTATTAAAGCGGACCTCTGGTGTCGGAGCGCACCACGGAGCCAGAAAGTCCTGCCTCCTCTGTGAAACCCGGACCTCCTCCCGTCTCCAGATCTCTCCAAAACTTCCTCCATACCCCCTAACCCAGACCCTCTCTGGTCCCCATATTCAGGTTTCCTGCTGTGACCCCCAAACCCTGGTCCTCCTGCTGCTACTACTTTAAAAAATAAATAAATAAATAATTAAAATAATGAAAGCTACTACTTCTGTTTGACTGCTTCTGAGCGTTTGTGCAGCTAATGTAAATCTCCCTGTATCTCTCTCTCTCTCTCCCTGTGTGAGTGAGAGAGAAAGAGAGAGAGATAAAGTTACATTACCAACAAGCCAGGAGAGCTTTATGTCTCCACTCTGTAAGTTTATGGACTTAAAAAAGAAGAAAAACACCGGAGAAGAAAAAAGGAAAGGAAAGAGAGATGATGAAAAAAATCAAGTGCAACGTGTGTGTTTCTTGAAGAAGCCAGCTTTCTTCTAAAATGTCATTATTTAGCACACTCACAAGTTCTAGCCTTTATTTCACTTAATATATCCTCGCTAAGTGGGTTATTGTGACACAAGTAGCAGAATTCCACAATGATTACCCTAATAAATGTATTGATAAGTGAATATTAGAGGCAAGAAAAAAGGATTTATCTCCGTGACTGTTACTAGTAATTAATTGTTTCATTACTTCCTTTTTTATAGATTGTTATTGTGTCCTGTTTAGTGTAAAATTATGTCACCATGTTTACTTTAGGTCTGGACCTTTTTTCCCCTGTTTTGTCTTAGGCTCCTTAATCACAATGAAGGGGAATTTTAATGCTCTAGCATCACATCAGAGACAATATGTGTTTCAACAGCTTTCCTGTTACAACATGAAAGTCCTCACAGCACAAAGCTAACTACACAAAGAAATCCATTTCCCAGTCTGGTGATGAAGAACCTGACTGTCTTGCACATAGCCCAAAATTAATTCCAATCCAATAATTTTGAGATGAAGTGGAGCATTGGTTGCAAGCTAGACCTTGCCCAGCAGTGATGGACCTCATTAGCACTCTTATGACTGTACAGGAGCAAACCGTGCAGCCAGATTCCAACATTTGGTTAAGAGTATTACACAAGAGAAGTAAAAGGTGTTACAGTACAAGATTAATCTCAGAATGTTTACATTCTTTTATTCATATAATGTAGTTGAGCCTGCGCATATGTATGCTTTGGTTTTATGATCAAACTTCACGCCGATTCCAGGGGTGGGCAGTAAACTTTCCCAAAGGTACCACATGAGAAACTGAGACTGTCCCGGAGGGCCACGCAAATAAGCTGAACTGCTCAGTATCAATTTTACTTCTTTATAACTTTATTGGTGCAGTCCTCCACAGCAGTCTCAGTTTCTCGTGTGGTCTCTTGAGGAAATATATTACCTAGCCCTGAATTAAGCCATGCTGAAAATTAGTTTCTATCTCAATTAATTTCACAATAAACAAGTCCTGGTTCCTGACACAGGACTTTTAAGGCTCCATTAGTGGCTCTTGAAAGGGTCAAAGGTCCACAGTTGCCAAACTGGGGTCTGGTGGATTCTCTAGGGGAAACAAATGTAAGCATTATATTATGAGGAATGAGCAAAGGATTTCTGGCTTTTGGTTCTTTCTGAGACTGTTTTCCATTTTAAAATGCACATTAACATTTTATTCAGTTTTCACACCCATATGTTTACAATCGAATGATTTCGCCCTCTAGTGGCCATACTAACAAGAGCCGTTGTTAGGAGGCTACTCGGGAGGATGTTGGGGTGGATTAATGGGCTGATGCTACATGAAGTAAAGAGCATGCACAGTACCTTCTTATTTTGAGCATAAAGATTCTCTCCACATCTCTTGACCATAGCATTGTCAAATTATATAAATACTTTCTAATGGTTTTGTTACTGTTTATTTTACAGCCCTATGTCAATGGTTGCGTCCTGAAAAGTCCCCGAAAGAAGCAACAAACCACTGATGTGGTTGTTTAGGTTGTAAGATTAGTTCTGTTTTTTGCTAATTTTTGGAAACACCCCTTCCCTCCTTTGTGTCAGACTCAGCATGCTCCTTCACATCATAAATGTCTCTATATTCCCGCATTAAGTTCCCATAAATCTGCAGTCTGGAGTCAGCATTTCAAAGCCTCATGTGACAGATCAGGCAGGTTGCATGACAGTGTCTGTGTATGTGTGTGTCTGGCCTCTTTAAAGTGAAGCTCATCAGATGCTCAGACGGGGAGGAAAAGCAAGTCTTCAAAGAAATAATTAGGACCCACCCAGCAGCTTTTAACTGAGCATCAGCCGCTGCTCCAAATGTGCTGCTGCACACTAAAAACACACACCATGCACAAGCAGAGCTGAGGTGTGCATCAGTCAAACGAGACAGAGAGGAAGAGAGTCCAAAGAGTAAAGTGTGTGTTTGTGTGTGTGTTGCAGAGAGAAAAAAGGAAACTGTGCTTTTAAAAGTAAGCTTGTGAAAAAAAAAGCATGCTGCATGTGTTAAAGAGATAAAGATCAAGACATAATGTGTGTGGCGAAAGACTTTATGTGGTTAAAAGAGAAAGAAAAAAGCACAGTGTGTTCAAATGAGACCATGAAAGGTCCTGTTAAAGGTAAAGACTGTTGCAGTGAGATTGAATTTCAGTAATATTAACCACTAGATGGCAACAGGGAGAAGAAGGGGGTCTACCTGATCTGACTGCAGATGGTCCTTTAATGATCATCCACACACAAACGCATAAACACACACACAGACTGAGGAAATGTTGGAGAAAGTCATGAAGGATGCCACAGAACCCAAAGCAGGTGCTACTGGGACTCAAATATCGGCTATACTTTTCTTTAAAAACTATATAAATATATTGTCCCATTTTATGGCATCAGTCCTGATTTCCTTTTTTTTTTTTTTTTTTTTTTAATCTCATCAGTTGTATTAAGTGAATCAAATTTTTTGTAACTTTTACAAAAGTTATCCTGGGTTTTATTTTCTCCCTCTTTTGAATACAGGCTGCTTTGAATGAATTTCCCCAAGACTAATTAATCAAGTTGTGCTGAAGTGAAATTAAATGCTTCAGTTTTATAGAAGTCAGAAAGAGCTGTGGGATTAAAAACTGCTTCATACATCCTACAAACCTCATAATTTTTGTTAATTTGCTATTTTCATGTAACCACTCACAAACTCGGTGAAAATATCAACAAATGAGAAAGTCAGATGTATACAGTATGTGTTCAAAAGCAAGGTGAGGAGACGAAAGGACATTTTCTTATGGTAGTTGGATGGCTTGTGGACACAGGAGGTTTTCAGGGTGTGTGATGACCCTCCTGCATTCAAACTGGCCGCAGACGGCAGCCGGGGCCACAAAAGCCCCGAGGTTAAGGCCCCCCTGCAGTCGGTAGGTCTGGCTCAGAGGCGAGGAGGTGACAATGACGATGTCAGGAATGCTTCTGGTCAGGATGTTGTCCAAAGTCACGCTTTCTCACATATAACAACACAACAGGGGACAAGGCACTATCTCACAACTGGAAATCTTCCATTGAGTTCAGGAGGAGGAGCTGGAACATGACCCAGAGGCAGCAGCACACATGATGCCCACTCACTGTAAATTAACAACATGCACTTTTCACACACGGACAGATTTCACTGACCTTGTACTCGGGAGCTGGCTCGTTGCAGATGTTTTAATGTCCAGTCAAACTGTGTTGGATGTTTGCATCATTTGCTAGAGAAAAAAGAGAGAATGGAGAAAACAACAGTTTAAGCTACTTAATTATAAAACATGTCAGCTTACAAAGTGGTACCTGTGAGAGGGAATAAATAATGAAAAAAAAGATCCCATATTTAATATTTAAACCACCAAGACGAGTCAGATGAATGAGTTTATGTCGATGTTGCCAGTAGCCAAAATGTTGATGCTTCTTTCTGCAGCCACGGATCACAGCTGGCAGCACATAAGGTGGAGCTACACAATAAAAACCCAAATTGTGACATGAAGTTGTTGCGTTTTACATCCTTGTAACGAACTAAACTGCAGATATTTAAGATGTTTATGGAGGCAGTTATGAACAGCCTCAGACGAACACCCTAGAAACTGTGTGTAAAGTGTAAATGCAAAATGGAGGGTTTGGTGGCTTGTATATTTCAAGATGTAACTAACAGCTCAAGCTGCTTATGTGAAGAAGTGAAGTGTTTTCCATGTATCATTCAGAGAGCAGGAAGGTATGTTTTTAGAGAGCTGCTGAATTAGTGCGGGAGCTCTGGGATCTATCACGCTGCGTACTCTTCTGGTTTTACAAGTTTCTTACAGGGAAGTCGGGCTACAAGCTAATCTCTTGGCATGTATCACTGCTGTCGGACAGAAGCCACATATCTGCAGAAAGGACATTCTGCAGGAAGGAAGCAAGGAATGCTGTTCTTATAGGTTTTAAGGGCCCAAAGGTCATGAAACTCACTTGGCAGATAATTGACTTTGTAAATTTCAGCTCAAGTTAGAAAAAGAAAAACAGTCAAATTGCAGTTGCGAGGAGGGGTTTTCCATGATTGCAGCAGAGATTAGTTTTCAGCTCATTACCTGCTGCTCTGGACCAGCACAGGAACACACACAGAAGCAAGGAACTGTGCTGTGATTTTTGCACAGTGGCCAAACAGCATTATTACAACTTTCTCATATCACGTGACGAACGCTGGCGCAAAAAGTCTTTTTCCTCCAAGAGACAATAACACTGGACACGGGAACAGTAGTTGCTGTAAAATGGTGAATAAATCTTTGAGTGTATTACAAACCTCAGGAAATGACTTGTTTTATTATTTAAAAAAAAACCCATCTTTATCCATTAATAACATTTGGAAAGTGTAGAAGAGACTTTATTTCATCCCATAGCTATAAAGTGCATTATCAAAAGGGGCTAAAATTGTGGAAGCAAGCAGAACAACTTGGTAGATTATGTTATCCAGCTCTCTTTATTACACCCATGACTGAGGGAGACCTTCACATGACAATGCCACTCAGCTGGGCCAA